AAAGGAACCTGTGAAAGTTAGAAGTGTTACAATGTGGTATTGTTTCTTCTAGGATTCTGTAACCTTCAGCAAGCAAGGCACAGACAAGAGCTTTTACTTTGTGAACCCAACAAATGGTGTTGTTGTGTTGCTGAAAGACTTGAGATCGACTGACCACACATCATTTGTGGTAGGATGATGTTAGAAACTCTTGGTTAGGTGATGAATCTGTTTGACTTTTTGTCATGTTTAGAGAGTCATGTTTTGATGTATGAGGATTTTATTAGGAATATTATCAGATTTCATTATTGTGTAAATTCCAGAATCTAACTGGTCCCAAGTTACCTAAGTAACTCTTGCCTTAAGAGACAACTAATACGATCATTTGATCAGATTCATCATCGTAACCTCCGATTATGCTATGTGCTTCAATTATCAATCGCTTGTTGATCAGGTCCAGTTCAGTTATAAACAAGCATGAGTTACATGGACTTTTTATTTTGGAAAGCTTGTGATTGATTGAAGTGATGTGTTTAAAAGAATTAAGGCTAATTTAACAAATGAAATGCTTCGATCCATCCTCACATGAGTGAGGAAAGTTCATGTTAACCTAAACATTGTGATTTTGTTGTTTTATTACTTTTTAAAGTACACAGTCCAGGTCTTTTACCATTTGAATTTGCTCATTACAGATCCCAGTGCAAGTTATGGTAACCTGATGTGCTTCAAATATCAGACGGGGCGGTGGGGTAGCCTAGTGGTTAAAGCGTTGGCTCATCACGCCAAAGACCCGGGTTCGAATCCCCACATGGGTACAATGTGAGAAGCCCATTTCTGGTGTCCCCTGCCGTGATGTTGCAGGAATATTGCTAAAAGCGGCGTAAAACCAAACCTTAGTCAGTCAGTCAGTCAAATATCAATCACTTGTTGGTCAGGTCCAGTTCAGTTATATACAAACAGGAGTTACATGGTCTTTTGATGATGAAAGCTTGTCATTGATTGAAACGATCTGTTAAAAAATAATTAAGGATAATGTAACAAATGAAATGCTTCCGTCCAGCCTCACATTAGTGCTCATTACAGATCCCAGTGCAAGTTTCTGACGGTCGTGGAAAAACTGGTGATGCCATTGTGAGGATAACAGTGACAAAGAACAGTGGCCCACCTGTGTTCAGCAATACACCATATGAAACTAGAATCCCAGTCATACAGCCTGTTGGAACTCGTGTACTCTCGCTCTCCGTCAATGATCCTGATCGCGTGGTATGTTCACAAATCAGTCATGACTTAACATTTCAACTGTTTGTACCGAAGTTGTTTAATGTATATTTTGTCTAGTTAATGTGTTCTACTTTCCTGTGAAATGCACATTCGATTTACTTATGTATTTAGTAATCTGATTTGCTACAGTATGTTTTATTATGTGAATGTTTGCAATATAAACTGTTTCCATCATTTGAATCTTTTATACACAGGGAACCATTGTTTGCCAACTTGAGGGGTACGAACCTGGACAAACCAACTGTGATCTAAATAATGTCACACATGCCATCACAGTTCGGGCCAACCTGACTCTCAACCCACATCCTGATGTCATTTATGTGGTAAGCCTTGTTTTAAAGCATTATATCTGAAAATGTTTCACTGAGAAATATATCAGTAAACCAATGTGAAGAACACATTCCTAAATGCGGTATTTGTTCATTTGGCACACAAACTAAATATTTGTCCTGTTTTCATAACTGATCCAAAATTCAAATCTGACTTTGCACCTAAAACATTTTGCACAAAACCTTTATAAAAACATGTCAAACTTAAACAATCATCTATGGAATCGAATGGACCCTTCGTGAACTGGTTCATGTTGGGGAGACACAACAGTATCGACAGGATTCAGCAGCACAAATTAGACATCAGAAATGCTTCCAAGTGTTTCTACCAAGATTTCTATTTTAAAAGTCACTCCATCCTAACATTACCGTCATATGTGGACATTACTTCATTAATACTGTTTGATCAAAGAACTTGGTATGAGTGACATACCAGAAAACAAGTAAGGTCAGTATGCGACTTTCGATACGACTCATAAGACTCCTCTTCTTTACTGGACTTCAAAGATTCTTAAAAAAGTGATGTATTGTCCAAAGACCCTTAAAAGAGAGATGTATTTCTGGGGTCAGCAACTATACAATCCAGTCTCTGTATCTACGAGAATCGTAATCACCAATACATTTTCAAAGAGGTCATACGACTCTTTTTCAGAGGTTGTTTGATCCAGGCTACAATATTCACGGTGTAAGAAAGTATCAGTGATCTAATGTTCATGGTTCAGCGACTAAATGTTCGATGTAACTTGTACCGTATGTGGTATCTGACTCATGGGTATGCTACTTGGCCTGTACATACTGGGACAACTGAGGATATTCCTCTACACAGGTAGATCACGCGACATCTGCCTCCATGACTGTCAAATCGTCCCCAATAGCAACATACATATGAGTGTGTGTTTGAGTCTGTGTGTGCGCGCGCTAAAATGTCAACTGGCAGTTTGCGTATTTTTTACAAGTGCTTCTCGTCCTCCTTGTGTCTACCAATTTACATTTGACATCAATAATTCGTGTTCCCTTGTTGCAGAGGGCATTAGGAAAAGTTATATGACACCCTTCCATTTGTTGCAGATCAAGCAACACCGCTTAACTCTGGCGTACTGGTTCCTTCGAGATTGATTCTTGTGGTTTGTGGTTACCTTGTTAAACATGCAATGTATATCAGAGACTTTTCCTAATGTTACCGTCAATGTCATCCATAAAATACAGGAATCACAATATGGCTATATCTTGTTGCTTGCGCTGCTGTTACGAGCGGGTGTTGAGCCGAATCCCGGCCCTGATACAGAGGAGCGAGTACAGACCAGAGCAAACAGTGGTGCTAAAGGAGGTGATAAACAGTTGACATTAACTACACAGGTGAATGGCAAAAATATGCAAACTATTCTCGATGAGCTTAAAAATATGTCAACAAAATGGATAATCTGCAGGCTTCGCATGCAACTATGACAGAGAAGATAATGTGTATGGAGTCAACATTGACCAAGGTGTGTGACCGACTTTCAGATGTAAATGAACGCTGTCATAGTTTGGAAGCAGAAAGCCTTGCACTCAGACAAGTTGTGGACAAGTTAGAGGACAAAATTGATTATATTGAAAATCAAAGCAGAAGAAATAGCTTGAAATTTCATGGAGTCCCCAGAGCCCAGGGTAAAGAATCCTGGGGTGACTGTGAGAAGATTGTGCGGTCAGCGCTGAGGGACAAGATGGACATGGACGACGCAGACAACCACATCCAGCGAGCTCACAGAGTGATGCGGGGGAAGAGCATCATAGTGAAACTTACCAATGATAGTGATAAGTATGATATACTGAAAGCAGCCAAGGAACTGAAGGGGACACCGATTTTCGTTAGTGAGGATTTTTCTACTATTGTGCGACAGAAAAGAAAGTTCCTTGTACCATACATGATTAAATCAAGGGAAGGTGATCGTCTGTCGGACTTGCGTTATGACAAACTGTTTGTGGAAGACAACATATATACGTATGACGTCACAACTGACTCCCTTGTTACAATAAAACAAGGCCTGAAACCTGGTGTCGTCGAACCTGCCGTCTAGCAAGTTGGCCCGGCCCAGGAACAACATCATGAGACATTAAATTTCATTATGTGGAATGTGTGTGGTTTGAAACCGAAATTGGAAGATACTGATTTTGTAACACGTTGTAAGAAATTTGATGTGTTTGGTTTTGTTGAGATTTGGAAATATTGCAATGATGTTGATATTGAAAGTTGTTTTCCGTGTCATAACGTGTATACCAACTATAGAGATTATAATAATCGTGGAGGAGTTGCAGTGTGTGTCAGTTACAAGATTCACAAAGCAGTCATGAAGGGATATTTGGAGTTCTCTGATTGCATATTTCTTCTCATTGATAAAGATCTCACGGGCACATCACAGCATATACTTCTTGGATTTGTGCATATACACCCCTTCAATTCATCAGTGAAAAGTGATACCAGACCACAAAAAGGAATTGATTTCCTAGAAAGCTTCTTGTTATCCATTTTATCAGACACATCTGTCAGTAGTCCATCAATGATAATTTTGGGAGATCTGAATGCTAGATGTGGAAATATACAAGATTACATAGAAAATGATAGTTCAAACCATATACCATCACTTGCAGATATGGACTACGTCGAAGATATGTTTAATATACCAAGAGATAGCAAAGATTATGTGACAAATAAATATGGAATCGACCTTATTGAACTATGTAAAACCTTCTGTTTACACATGATGAATGGGAGAAGCACTTGGTGATTTCACGTGCTATTCAGGGGAGGGAACTAAATAATTATGATGTTACTTATATGTATTCTAGAAGACCAGTACTGATATTAACTGGCCAGAAAACAGACTTTGTAATATATACCACCATTTGTATATATCCAGTCGGAGATTGTGGCATGCCAACAGGAAGTCAATAGTACCTTCATAGAGAGGTAGCTAGCTCAAGATGTACCATCATGTAACCATGGTTACCTACACTTACTTGTATGACATCGCTGTGTAACCATGATTAGATACACATATCTCTCGTGTTACCATGTAACCATGATTTCAAGTACTTATCTGTACAATACATGACCTGCCTGAAACCTAGTGCGCATTCAGAGAAAGTGAAATTTGTCTTTGACATTTTTTCGTACTTTTGCATATGATTTGCTCATTTTCATTACTCTTTGTTGAATGTTGATTTATTCTGTTGATGTGGTTACTTGTATATTGGTCCTTTATATCTCTTTGGCTTCCAGTGTGCAGGATCTTCCTTCTACTGTGCCTTAAGTCACTCTCTGATAAAGCAGCTGGAACTGTGAATCACTATGTCACAAGATGTATTGTGTTGACAGAGCCACATTTGATTTAACTAGGCTATATTGTAGAGACAACCCTGTGTGTGTGTGGTGGACCACTGACTCTAGTAGCACTTGTGTGCCCAGATGAAGGTATATACAGGTGATCTATGACAAGTGTGTGATGGAGCAGCACCTATGTGTCCAGCTGAAGGTATACACAGGTGATGTGTGACATGTGTGTGATGGAGTAGCACCTGTGTGCCCAGCTGAAGGTATATACAGGTGATCTGTGACAGGTGTGTGATGGAGTAGCACCTGTGTGCTCAGCTGAAGGTATACACAGGTGATATGAGTGGTGTGTGGTGGTTCACTGAAGCAAGAAGCACCTGTGTACCTAGCTGAAGGTATGTACAGGTGATCTATGACAGGTGTGTGGTGGAGTAGCACCTGTGTACCTAGCTGAAGGTATGTACAGGTGATCTATGACAAGAGTGTGGCGGAGTAGCACCTGTGTACCTAGCTGAAGGTATGTACAGGTGATCTATGACAAGTGTGTGGTGGAGTAGCACCTGTGTACCTAGCTGAAGGTATGTACAGGTGATCTATGACAAGTGTGTGGTGGAGTAGCACCTGTGTACCTAGCTGAAGGTATACACAGGTGATCTGAGTGGTGTGTGGTGGTTCACTGATGCAAGAAGCACCCGTGTACCCAGCTGAAGGTATGTACAGGTGATCTGTGACAGGTGTGTGGTGGAGTAGCGCCTGTGTACCTAGATGAAGGTATGTACAAGTGATCTGTGCCAGGTGTGGTTGACAGTGTAAAAGCCCCCATAGACCATGTTAGGACCTTCTCTCTTTCTATCCTGACAAAGACAATGCAAGACTTGTAGATAGACTTACATTGTGGATCTAAAATCATAAATAGTAGCATGATTGTGACAGCAGTTGTTAATTAAACATAATTGATTCAGACAATATGTACACGTAGATATACAGATAACACAGTACAAATATAGTTTGTTAGTTATGACTATTATCATTTTAATCTTTAACTATCCAAGTATGTTTGTCAGCATGGTTATCCCAGGATAATGTGTGGTGTGCAGTTCATGACATGAGTGGCAGTTTATAGCATGATATAATCCCCACCTCAACTGTGGGACATGATGGGAAGTTATGATGGTTATCACCTACTACCACGTGTCATGTCACTTCAGTTACAGCACTGGGCAGATCCGTTGTATCACCACTCACTCCACCCTGCGATATGGCAGTTGTTTAAGATCACTTGTTATGCATGGAACAAAGGCAGATGTATTGGTACACACACTTACAGCATGCTCGCTGCATCACATCACCAACTAGATGTGAATGTGACCCAAGACGGATATATGGCTTACATGTTACCAAGTTTATTGTGATGGCAGACAGTACACATCCTACTAGCTGGTTGCAACTGGCACAAGCTGCTGTCACTCAACAAACACCTGCTTGAACTCCACAACACACTGGACTTGTTTACTGGAATCTCTTCAGAAACTGTATCATTGCATTATATTGCTGTGTGTAATATGTCGTATATCACCTGTGTGAGAAGGTCAGGTGTGCTGTACTCTTATTGTCAACTGATGATACTTGTACTTCTCAGCTGATTACTGGCTAGTTTTGACTGACTGAAGCAGAAAAATACCCAGAACATTAGCATGTGTAAGGAAAATAATATTTCCAGCTGTTCTTTGATGGATTAGTGGATAAGAAAAATCAGATTGTACATCTACAGAACTGGAACAAGAGGTTATTGATAAGTTTGTGTGTTGTGAAATGATGATATACATCTCACATTGAAGACAGCCTTACCTCATATAAGCCATTATCATGATTATGTGCATGAAAAATCTGTACAACCAAACATCAGACAATAGGTGTAGTCCGTGAGAAAACTGTTTGATTACTCTGATGTATACACTGTTCAGTTGCATTTCATTTTAAAGGGTACAGTTGCATTTAGTTTTAAAGGGTAGAGTTGTCAGTCAGTATGTCAAGACAGTGCTAGACAATACCCACTGTCAGGACAGATTCCACATGGCATAAGAAGTCAGATAGTGGTGAAAATTATATAAATACTTTAAAACTCATCTATGACACTTGAAATGTGCAAAATCGGTTAGCAAGAAAACATTGTCTTGAAAATTATTTTTTTCAATTTAATATCAAGTGATCACATTTCAGTTTCTTTTTTCTTGAAAGGCATTAAAAATAATTTCTGGTTTAGGTTGATCTTATATTGTCAAACTCATTTAAAGGTGGTTTTCTGAAAATTGTGGTATTGTTTTAAGGAAGTGAAGACTGTTGGTTTAATCTCACTGTTAAAGTATTATCTATCAACTACTTTGACGGCTTACATCGGATTGAATCTCCAAGATCAGACTTGTGTTCAGAGTCCCTTTCTTAACTCATTAATAAACTTGAGCATTTACACAATGCAAGAAAATGTGTGATGAACATTGACATAATGTGTCATGGCTTGACCCTTGGTCACATGGCTTCAGCACTTGGGACATGTAACCACTTGTTGCAACAATGTTGCTTAAACAAGACCCTTAGTGGTCACATGGCTTCAGCACTTGGGACAACACATTGTTGCATTACCTAAAGTAACCACTTGTTGCAACAATGTTGCAACCTGACAATACTAAAAACAAGAACATCCCACTTAGTAGCATTATTTGTCAAGAGGTAGCACATGATGCTGAATGCTTGTCATAGTTATACATTGGTGTCACATGGTAGTATCATGGTGCTGCTTTGAAAATTGCAATATTTTAATTATTTACATGCCCATCTTGAATTTAAAATGGCCGCCATTTTAATTCAAGATGGCCGCCATATCAGAATCAACATCAGCTTCCATTGACTCTACTGTCATGAGGTCGTGAATGGTTTATGGTTTCACAATTTTGTTATATTTCACATTATCACAATAAGAAACATTCACTGACATCAATCTTTTTTGCAATGTTTGAATGAGTTTTTGGATCAAAACCTGGTGAAGGAAATGGAGCAAGATGCAAAAACTGTTTGCCTTTCTTGACATCAGTTTGCTTAATCATCAAATACATTGTTGTACCTGACTGACATCTCATAATACACTGAATATTTTGACAGTACATAACATGGTCGTCAATGCAAGCTCCATTAATTATGACATATGTATACGTATCCATTTTCTGTCAGTTACACTTTATTTCGAGGCGTGAGTAGACAGAATATGATAGTGATTGCTGTGAATGCGGGCTGAAGTTATAAATATCTGAGGGACACACGATTTCACTGCAGCTAATAGAAACATTCTTTTAACATTTTGAGTAAAATTACCGTCTCGTTGTTGATACCAACAGTGATTGTTATGACATAAAAAAGAAAACAAACACAGGTACACATTATAACGGTAACTGCCAGTTGTCTTGTGGTCTGAGTTGGCCGCATTATTACAACAGAAGTCACAGAACATAAATACCAGCAATTGAAGATATACAGAGATGAAATAACAAAGCAGCAATGCAAAATCATACAAGTAATGTCCATGTACATAGCGCCAATATCCAGCTTAGCTCAAATGCGCGTTGTTTTTCCTCGATCACAGGATGTCAATCTCAATGGCACATCATATTATTCAACCCTCAACTCCCTGAGGACCATACAACTTTGCAGCCATTTAGCCGCAACGAAAACCCATTCACAGGTGGGTGGACTGGGACACATAGTCACAGTACGTTGTCCAAGTTTAGTGCATGTTGCTGCACCCGCAACTTGGTGTTTGCACGTATTCATGCGGACACCATCTGGTCATATACCAACAGATTCGTGGGTTCTTTTAAGAGTACAGGGTTGTGTACTGTACACTAGGGGTTGTGACAACACTGAAAGAGTCTGTACACAAAGTTGACTCCAGGTGGGCTCGATGGCACCTTAAGCTCGCTGGATCACTAGCCTAGTCTTAGATCGCTCGCCCATTGCAGCCAACTATTTATAGATATAAGTTGTTACTGTGACTTCACATGTTTGCTGTGATAAATCAGTGCCACGAAGACATCTACATCCACTTCTTTGTTGTTCTGTGCATGACACTATCAACATAGATCTTGCATATGTCAGCAATGGTACCAATCCTTGGCCATGGTATATGCTGGAGAAGTGCACATCCAACGACTACGCCTGGTGTTGTGTGTTTTCTTCTTCTTTGTGGTACCGGTAATGTGTAAGCAGATATCTGGCCAGGACAGACTTGGGCATTTTCTCATGGATCCACATTGTTATACATTATCACATGGAGGACCATTCACAAGAGTTATTGATAGTAATCGCTGACACAGCTCCATTGATGACATCATAGGCGGACACACTTCTTCATGGTGGTAAATCAAATGTGACTACTTGTGATGCCTTCTTCAACACCTTTCCAAATGTCATCCCTGTCATATTTGTGCAGACAGCAGTTATTTGGTTCATGCTGAATCCTTGTGGGTGATGTTGATTAAGTCTCCTTGAATTTTGCCTGCTCTGATTAGACATTGCTCTATGACTATGTCTCTCCTTAAGTGTCATTGACAAGCACAGTAAACAATCCTGAAGATACAATGTGCAGAATTCGGCATAGTTGTTGTGTCCAGATGCTGCAAACAGGGGTAACATGCATGAACTCCACAGCTGTTGGGTTGCTTTCAGATGTAACTGCATGGTTCCAACTTGTGATTCATCAAGGTCACAACGCTTGGTCTCCCTCTACTTCTGCAATAGTGATCCTTGATCCAAAATACTAAAGGAGGCGGCGTTTAAAATGCTTCAGACTAGGGTGAGATCCCAGTAAGCAGATCAGCAGCATACAGATCCAACAGCTACTGTAGAGTGTACAGCTCCATTCTGCATACCTTTCTGGCAGCAGCTCACACCATGAACTGGAAGGCTGTGTTCTTAATGCTCTACACATTATCACATAATACAACAGGACACATCATGGATGATTCATGATTCATGTCTATCAAGGTCACAACGCTTGGTCTCCCCTCTACTTCTGCAATAGTGATCCTGTGATCCAAAAATACTAAAGGAGGCGGCGTTTAAAATGCTTCAGACTGTAGGGTGAGATCCCAGTAAGCAGATAGCAGCATACACAATGCCACATTGTTAAAAGGCTGTGTTCTTAATGTTTCATTATCACATAATACAACATGGAAGAACGGTCTCTTGCACACAATGACACATTGTTGAGTTCAGTAGTCTCAACATTATCACATAATACAACATGGAGTGTTCAAACCCTTGTACTTAGTTTCACTTCTCCTGACAATGCCATGTTGGAGATTGGAGATCAAACATTTTAAAGAAAATAAAAAATCAATTAAACTTATGATTAAACATAGGCATATTTGGACATGGTAATACATATTCTGTGGCATTATTATTAAGAAAATATATATAAACACATAATATTTCAACATATTTTCCAAAACATCTGGACACAACATGGTAAATTACAAACAACTTTCTGTACAATAAAATATTATGGTTGTTTAACATGCAAGTTTGTTGCCACATTGTTTATACATTATGGGTTTCAATGGAGAATATAAACTCATAATACAACATAAAAGATAACACTATCAAAAATATTTTGACTAAGTAAAACAGTACATTTACATCTGAAGGGTTTTGAGTTGTCAGTACAGTGTTTGACCTTGACCTCGGCATCAATGCCACATTTACTTTTGTTACACATTTGATGTATATCACATAATACAACAGGACATTTAACATGGTAGTACACAATGCCACATTGTTATACATTATCACATCATGTTTCTGCTAATACAACATGGATATTGCTGAGTACACAATGCCACATTGTTACACATTATCACATAATACAACAGGACACATCATGGTGTGTACATGATAAATAGTACACAATGCCACATTGTTAAACATTATCACATAATACAACATGGAAGTACACAATGACACATTGTTACACATTATCACATAATACAACATGGAAGTACACAATGCCACATTTTTACACATTATCACATAATACAACAGGACACAACATGGTAGTACACAATGCCACATTGTTATACATTATCACATAATACAACAGGACACAACATGGAAGTACACAATGCCACATTGTTACACATTATCACATAATACAACAGGACATAACATGGTAGTACACAATGCCACATTGTTACACATTATCACATAATACAACAGGACACAACATGGTAGTACACAATGCCACATTGTTAAACATTATCACATAATACAACAGGACACAGCATGGAAGTACACAATGACACATTGTTACACATTATCACATTATACAACAGGACACATCATGGTAGT